GAATGAAAATAATTGATCGTGTTTTCTTTTGGGAGAGTATCCCGTGTTCTGGAGAGAGTATCTCCTTGTATTTTCCCGTTCGTTCACGCTTTCGCTACATCATAAAACTACATATAAATATGGAAAAATGCTACGGTATCGTTATGAAATTATTTCGTCGGAGATTATAACAGTTAGATTATTATATCATCATGTCGGGAATAGTTGGTCTAACAGTTACTAACCCGACGGATTACGGAATGATTCCATAACTGATTTGCAAAATCACTTTATCTACGCAACTCAAAAAGTTCTATAATCTATATATCTTTTGCACTTTACAAATTACACCCAAATTTTGCAAACACAAATTGTGTGTATGACTATGGAGTGCTTCTCAAATCAAATGGGCTTCAATTAGAATTTAGAACTTTGTTTATGTGTGGAAAAAAAGAAAAAAATGATCCCATGTCCGCACCTTCATGTTTCTTCTATGCACCCTCATCATCCTCTTCTCCTCTACAGACGAACAGCATCCTCTGTGGCGGCGCTCAGGATGCTATCTTCTTCCACCGTCTCACCCAACCCTAATCCCTCAATTGCCGCCATTGTTGGCACCTCCATGACCAAACCCACTTCAGAAATACCATCAAAACATCCTCTTTCTGGAGATTCTTCGCGAGACCGTTTAAGTTATCGGGGTCTCGTGCAAGCCAATATCTTGGGCACCGCCAGCAAGCCGATTACGATCGGCCCATATGAACCCGCTGGTGAAAGTGTAGAGCCCTTGTTGGTGGTTGTTTCGTTTTACAAGTTCGCGGATTTTCCGGACCATGCTGAGTTGCGGAAGCCATTGAAGGAGCTCTGTGAACAGCTGGTAGATTGCCAAATTAGCCTTGTTTTGTATTTAATAGTAATATTTAGGTGCCTGAATTAGTTGTGACGGAGTTAATTGATGTATGCTGCTAAAAGAAGAAGCAAAATTTGGGGCCTTGAAATGAATGACTTACTGTTACTGCCTTATGAAGTGAAATGAGCTATTGTGAGTGATAATGCTTATTCATTTCTGTTCTTTTATCTTCTACCCTGCATCAAACAATCGCACTCACATTTATTCTGGTGATGCAAATAGTTAATTGCACATTACTCCATTAAAGCCTTGTCTGTGATTAATGCCTCAACCGATACCTTCAGCGTGTTTCAGGTGGCATCATCCTTGCACCAGAAGGAATCAATGGGAGCATATGTGGGACCCGTGATTCGGTAGAAGAAGTACTCTCCTTTATCCAGTCGGACGACAGGTTAATGGGCCTCAGGCGCATAGAGACGCCTTTGAGTCCAGAGGAAGAAGCTATCCACCTTGGGCATACGAGCAGCACTCCCCTTGCTGCTGGGGAAGATGCTCCCTTTCGGTGGGACCATGTGAGAGTCAAGCTGAAAAAAGAGGTAGATTTATTATAAATGGGACAATTTGTTTTGGTTTATTCAGTTTGGAATATGAGTAGAAGCTACAGCTTTTTCGAACGTGGTTTGCAGATAGTGACTCTTGGGATGCCGTCTGTGTCGCCAATTGAAAGAGTTGGGACGTATGTGAGCCCGAAGGAGTGGAATGAATTGATCAGTGATCCAGACACTGTAAGGAGCTTTTTCTTGTTTGTGTTCTTAGATCAATCTTGGCCGTTTTAATTTTTGTTTTGAGGGTTATTTGAAGGCATACTATATTGTGATTGAACTATCATTAATTGACCTTAAAGAAAAAAAAAATAAAAAAAATTGCCTAGTTGCAAGAACCTTACACATGTTCTTCGAATTTCTTGGAGAACAATCCCTATGTGTACATAATTAATTTTTACATGAGTGTATGCAGACCATTCTGTAGACTTTATTATGTACTCATAGCAAACCTTTCTTGGAAGTTATAAGCACAATTATGTGGGTGCAAATATTATTAATGCTATTTGGCAAAATACCCACCAAAGTGTACTTGAAATAATTTATAGCATATCCTATATGTACTGTTGACCACAGCACACATCAGTTTTGACACTTCACAGTTGGTTCCTTAAAAAGTCATATGTTCAGTGTGAATATCGAATGACCGAAGGTCCACAACACCTACCACTTCAGTACACATTACTATGTCTTGGTTAATTGCTTATAAATATTTGTTTGCAATTCATTGGTTGTTCTTTTAAATTCTCCTCATGTGCATCAGACATCATATTTTCGTTTTCTTTTGACATAGGCTCCGATTTGCTTTTCGACAGAATCTTTATCTGGAAATTTGATTTTGTCATTTTCTAATATTTAGGTGGTGATCGATGTTCGCAATGATTATGAGACTAGAATAGGGAAGTTTAAGCGAGCAGTTGATCCTTGTACAACTGCTTTTCGTGATTTCCCATCATGGGTAGACGAGAGATTCAAATTAAATGATTCGGGTGATGACAAGGTCAAGCTCATTGGTTCGGCTCAAACCTCAGGACAACAAGTTGAGGAAACGGAAAAGAAGATGCCCCGGGTCGCAATGTACTGTACTGGTGGAATTCGGTGTGAGAAAGCATCGAGTTTTCTCTTAAGCAAAGGTTTCAAAGAGGTAAGATTCTTTCCGGGTTATATCTTATTCATTGAAAATTCAAATGATGTTCATCAAAATCTTAAACTTCTGTTGCTATAGCTAGATCATCCCTGATTTTGCCAGGTGATAATTGCAAAAAAATTACCTTTTAGTTCGACCTAATCACTGAGGTGCCTAATTATTTCGAAACAAATATGAAGGGGTCATCTGTCAGTAATCATTTTGAAAATTGGATGGGGCTTCTTTGAACCATACTGAAGCATCAAGAGTGTTTTTCATATCGGGACTTTTCAATATTCATGAGTCATATGTTTTCTGTTATACTTTTTTTTTTTGGTAGGTTTATCATCTGCAAGGTGGAATCCTGAAATATCTAGAAGAAATTCCAAAGACAGAGAGCCTTTGGGAGGGAGAGTGCTTTGTGTTTGATAAACGGGTCTCAGTTGAGCACGGGCTCGTGCAGGGGACTCACAAGCTGTGTTACGGGTGCAAGAAACCCGTGAGTGATGCTGACATGGAGTCTCCAGAATGGGAGTATGCAGTTTCTTGCCCGTATTGCTACTCATCTAAATCAGAGGAGGAGAAAGAGAGAGCAAGAGCTAGACAAAAGCAGTTTGAGACGTGGGGTATTATTGGCGGGCCGGATAAAGGCCGTAAGCTGAATAAAACAGGGACAAAAAACGAAAAAATTGATAAGCAGATGTCGGATTCAATCTGAGATTAGTTTGGCGCTTTAGGTTTTTTTTTTTTTTTTTTTGGCGGGGGGAGGCTTTTTAGATTTCTTTGATTGCTGTTGTAGTATCAGATATTGCATGTTTTAGCAACTTTTTCAACATGAATTCTAAATGAGATGATATTTAGGTATTCTATTCATGGCAAAATCTGATCTAACACTTAGTTATTTATGCATGAGGATAAATTGCTAAGGCTGATCAAATGTTAACTAGTTATCAACATTTCAGAAAGTTGCTTTAATTTTTATTTTTTAT